AAATATTAATGAAAGAAAAGCTGAGTGGGGTAGTCATTTTTTGTTTACTAGTTTAGTTGTATTTCTTTTTTTGTGTTTTCCATGAAATTCGTTTTGAGGAGAAAGAGAAAAGACCACAGTAACTGTCACTATCTGTCATCAATGGTAATACAAACCAGCCACAGTATGGCTGAGAACTAAGCATTGTGTGGCTTCAGGATTGTCCACTTGAAATACATGCAGGGACACCTACCCATGTGTGACATGGCACTATAAATACTCTGATATTATGTGACTGTTGATCAGAGCAGCCACTCTAAGTGTTACCAAAAAATTCAGGCACCTAACAACCAGTCTGAAACAGCAGCTAGCTAACTGCCAATCCGGTACCCTCGCAATAGAAAGTCACAGCCACTAGTTAGTCTGATCACCCAAAAGTTAAGGCACTTAAATCACGTAGTCCTGGTAGAAGACAGAAAACCAGTAAACCATATCCTGAACAGGAAACAAGGGATGAACCTCTACTCCTGTCCAATAGATATGGAAGGAGTTTGGGATGAATGCCTTATAAATTACGAAGGTGGTCAGAAATTACGGCTAATTTGGAATTTTAAAAATGTTAATAAAAAATTGGAGAGGAAAAACATGTCAATATTATTCAACCAAACATTTTTGAAAAAAAAATAAATATATAGGTACCACCAAAGATTCACTAAAAAAAATGAGCATACATTTATGAAAAAAAGCCCTAAACTTAATAAAAACAAAGTTTCATCATTAAAATCTTTATGCTATTCTTAAGAGAAAAGACCAAAGTATTTTTTGACTTATTAAATATTTCTTAATCCTTTTCAGAACCTTCAAAATTTTGGTTAAAAATTTTGTTTTTCGTGTGTCAGCAGGTCACCACAAATTAGCATAGAAAATTTTAGCATCTTTTTGTGATGAAAAAAAAAAAAAATTGATTTGAAAATTTTTGCAAAAATCATAATTATGGGATTTTAAATATGGCAAAAATCAGTGATTTTTAATGATTAAAAAAAAATAATTCTAACTTAAAATTTGTCTTGAAATACAGCAAAGTATTTTGCTTACTGGAAATGTTAAATTTAATCTATTAGTATCTGTCTATATTTCTGAGATGAGGTATTATGTACATTATTTACATTATTCGGACTATTGTCATCTTTGTCGCCATATTTATCACAACGTTTCGGCCGTTGTACGCTCTGGCTTTCTTCAAGTGATCCTCAAGGACACATGGCACAGTGGATAAAGGCATTGCTTAGATCCAGTGACAGGACCCAAATAGTGTGAGTTCAATACCCAGTTAAAGCAGTGGAAAACTTTTACAGGGAAATTAACAGGAGATAACTGATAACTGACATCCATTAAACATGGCACGTGGAACTAGAACAGTTTACCCAAGTGAGCGAAATAAAGGGTTCAGTTCGACATTCCAACCACCTGAAGAAGGCCAGAGCGTACAACAGCCGAAACGTTGTAATAAATATGAGGACAATAGTCTGAATAATGTAAATAATGTTAATCTATGAGCCCGAAAGTAAAACTAAAATGAAAGCTTCAAGAAAGATTTTCATTTTTAAAAATTCATTTTAAACCTTGGGTATCACTTTTCTTTGGGGGTACCTATATATAGGGTGTCCATAAAGTCTGTGAGCAGCAATTTAAAATATTTATAGCTTTGTAACTATACATGATAGAAAGAATCTGTAAAAAGGATAAGAAAGCTTGATTTGTCTAGTGTTTTCACGTCTTTAGGAAATGTATTTATTGGTTTTAAATTTTTTTTTTTTTCAGTTTCTTCAAACTTCACAATGACTTTTTTTTCTTTTTTTTTTCAGAATTACTGTTTGATTTGACTCCATTGGAGTTCTTTATATAGAGACATATGAAAAGTAATACTTATTCAACTAAACATTGATCTTTAAATGAGTTGCAAGCTAAAAAAAGCAATGTTTTTGTTGTTGTTTTTTTTTTTTACAGCAGCGTTCACCCTGTACAAAGTAGAGGGTTACATTAAGGGGTAGTTTATATGAATAGGAGGGGAGGGTAACAGTTAACTCTAGGCTTGAACAGGCTAAGATTGTAGTGATCAGGGAAACATCCACTTGGGAGTCTGTTCCATAGGGTTCGCGGGAAGAAGCTATTTGAGTGGAACTTTCTTCTCACCGATGGATTATGGAGGGAATGAGGGTGGTTTGTTACTATGTAAGTAACACAGCAGGTCATACCTGTGAAGATCAACCGGGTAGAATCCGAAGATACAGTCTGAGAACTTTCCATGGTAGTAGCAATAGAGCAGTGAGAGACCCGCCACATCTCACCCGTGAGAGATAATTTGGAGGGTGGAAAATAATTCTTTTCCAACAAGGACTCAGAGACACTTTTGAACTCTATCAAGACTGGAAAGTGAGGTCTGAGCAGCTCCTGCCAAAATATGGCAACAGTACTCAAATTTTCAGCCTGATCTGGTTCTTATAAAGGTAGAGAGGAAGTACGGTGGAGTAATGGATAGCGGCTTGGATTGAGGAATAAGAGAGCCGAGTTCAAATTCCAGTCGAATCCATTACATTCACTTACGTGCTAACACCCTTGGGAAAGGTGTGAATTCTCTTTCTTCTCCCTCCAGCTATGGGTAAATAGCAGGACACACCGGGTTCTATAGACTTGGATGGCAACTGGTCTAGGAGAAGAAAAACTCTGCATTTAAAACCTGCTCTTAGATGAAGGTGAATGGAGTCTCTGAGCCTTGGTTGGCAATCCATTTAGTGATGGTGTCACGATAAAAACACCCTTGATAGCCCTAGCGAAGCATCAAAAATTCAGCTATTTGACAAGATTATGAACTACACCAATCAAAGTATTAGTGAGTTCAATCTCGGCTGAGGCCGCAAGATGATGAAAGGTAGAGAATAGCAGGAGGTGTCAGATTGAAGGTCTTACTAAAAATCAGCTGTAAAATGTTTTCTGAGAACTACACAATTGTGCATTACCCTTCCTAAGATGACAGACATGTTGAAAATTAACACACACAATAATAAATTGATGAATTCTCTTATCGTTTGTGTATCTGCCAGTGAAGAAAGAAACACTGGAATCAAATGCTAAAGAAGCCAAAGACTGGATCACAATGAGCAGAGAATGAACAAGACTTCCACATGTATAGGACGAACATAGCCAAAACACTGGAAACACAAACAAATTTCAAACAATGCTAGGTAACACAGACAGAAACCTTGGTAATGCAATCAACACAGCATGTTACCAATCTGCCAGCTTTTATGGAATCTAAAACTTTAATGATTGGCTTGTAAAAGAAATCATTTGCATAGCCAACACCAGTCAGCTCCTAGACTATTTCATGAGAAAGCTGGTAGACACTTTCTTCATAACCAGACTTTCATGTGCCTGCACCAACTCTGATCTGGCAGAGCAGCCAGTCACTTTCTTTCTGGATAGACAACAGAGTAAACATTTCTTTGATTGACCAGAGTCGCTACTGTTATCAGTAGTGGTAAGCTGCTACATATTACATTTCATTTACACCACATAAATTTGAATACTGCATATCCTCGTGTATCAGGAGACATTTAAAGACCTAATTTTGAAATTAATTCGACTACAGTAAATGGATATATAGTTTGGTCAACGGGGTAACCAGGGCCAGCAGTATATAAACTAATTTTATATCTTGTGTATGATTCAATCTCCTTAAAATCAACTTCAAAATTATTTCTTCAAATGTTGCATGATACGCGAGTATATACAGTAAATATAGATAAGATTAAGGCTCTTGTGTTCTTCATCCGTCTCCAGATGTCTATTGACATGGGTAACCTTCAGGGAATTTCAAACCAAACCTTTATATAACCTACCAGAATAGATTGTTCTTGTTCCATTGTCCATGTCTAGAGACAGCTCACTTCATTCTTTTTACTACTGTTCAGTTATCGCTTACCCTGTTTCCACTGAGTCTGTACTACAGACCCAGGGGTTATTCATAAACTATCTATCTCAGTATGTTCATTATCTCTCTGTTTATATCTATGGATCTATCTATCACAATTGGCTCATTATCTATCTACCATATATACTTGCGTATCAGGAGACATTTGAAGACCTAATTTTGAAACTAATTTGACTACAGTATATGGATATATAGTTTGGTCAACAGTGTAGCCAGGGCCAGAAGTACATATGTTAATTTTATGTCTTGTGCATGATGCAACCCTCGTAAAATTAGCTTCAAAATTATTTCTTCAAATGTTGCATAATACACGAGTATATACGGTAAATATAGATGAGATTTGGGCTCTTGTGTTCTCACTAGAGACAGCTCACTTCATTCTTTTTTGTACTGGTCAGTTATCGCTCACCCTGCTACCAATAAGACTGTACTACTGGCCCAGGGGCTGTTCATAAACCATCTATCACGATCTGTTCATTATCTATTCATCTATCACGATCTGTTCATTATCCATCCATCTATCACAATCTGTTCATTATCTATCATGATCTGTTCATTATCTTTCTATCGCAATCTGTTCATTATCTATCATGATCTGTTCATTATCTTTCTATCACGATCTGTTCATTATCCATCTATCACGATCTGTTCATTATCTATCACGATCTGTTCATTATCTATCTATCACGATCTGTTCATTATCATATATACTTGCGTATCAGTGACATTTGAAGACCTAATTTTGAAGCTAATTTGACTACAGTAAATGGATATATAGTTTGGTCAACAGCATAGAGTAATTTTATATCTTGTGTATGATGCGAAAACATTAAAATTAGCATCAAATGTCATATGATATGTGACTCTACACAGTACTTCTTTTTTCTTATCCTTTTTTCAGGTTGTTTCTATCATGCAGTTACAAAGCTACAAGTATTTTAAATTGCACACGGACTTTATGAACATCATGTATGCTGCAAGCAACATTATTAACTGCCTGTGAAGTAAGAACAATTTTTTTTTAATGTACCTTTCTTCAAGAGGCACGGAAGGCCACCTCATATACTGCCAAAAGTGCATGACATATTCATTACCAACGACCAGGACGAACAACGTTAAGAAGAGGAAACTTTTACTTGTGAATTTTCTGACAAGATGAGAGAAATACTTTCGTCCCTTCACACCCATCAGCAATAATCATACTGCAAAAAAAAAGAGAAATAAATAAATAAAAAACATCAACCGGCATATTTCAGGACAATAATGCTTTTAAGGCAAGTAGTTTTAGGAAGTACTCAAAATTAGTATCTGTCTATATTTCTGATATGAAGTATTATGTACACTATTTACATTATTTGGACTATTGTCCTCATCTTTGTTGACATATTTATTACAACTTTTCTGCTGTTGTGCTCTCCGGCCTTCTTCAGGTGGTTGGAATGTCGAACTGAATCCTTTATTTTGCTCACGATCTTTGTAATAGATAATGTCTCAGAATTGTTAATTAGAGAGCCAAGTTTCAATTTCAGTTGGATTCTTTATATTCACTTATGCACAAATACCCTTGGAAAAGGTATGAATCTGCCTCTTCTCCCTCAGATATGGGTTAATTAGTAAAACTTGTATGACTAAATCATTATCTCAAAAAAAAAAAAAAAAAAAAAAAAATTAAAATCTAAAAATATCTTCCAGCTTTAATTAACCTTCACAAGAGTTAAGCCCACCAACAACCAAACCACTACAACTGTTACCTCTTCAAATTTTGAGTCCGCTGTTATCAGTCCTACATATCCTCATAATACGCCTTATTTTCTCTTCTTACATCCAGAAAACAACCCCATCCTGTAACCCTCATCTTGAGTGGCTCTTGCAAACAATAGTCTTAAAAAAAAAGATTAAGAGTTTTCAAGAATTTTAGGCTGATAGGTCCATGTTAGTAGAGTTCAAGAATCATTTGACAAGAGTAGATTTTAACCCCTTGCAGATAGTAAGTTTGGGTCATCTACCATCTAGTTTTATTTTCATTTATTTTGCTTCCAACGTGCCTATGTTGCCAAAAATTTAGAGGAAAACGAAGAGGAGATAAATAATAAACCCATACGTAATTATAATTATTCTAATTAGTCCCACCAAGTAAACAATTTGTAATTTAAATCACAAACCTTCAAATAAGTCAATCATAAGTATATAATTTGGACTTAAAAATTAGTTTAACTGCTAAAGTTTCATGAATATCATTGATTTTAACATTCAAAACAAATTCTGAATTTCAAATACTAAATTACCTCCCTTAGATGCCTTTATCTAGCCTCATATTGTAATCACATACTTTATTCATGAAATATAATTCTAAACTTGTGACAAGTGTTAGAATTTGCAAGACAAAATTTAAATTGGCAATGTTTAATCCTTGTGATGGTCTTATTAATATGATTCTTTAACAAGTTGAGATCTGAGGCAATAGAAGGTTTTCTTTTTTTGAAAGTTATAAAATATTGACAAAATGTTTATATGAGCAGCACCCATATGCACAATCTTTTGCAACTCATAGTGAAGAATTGCCTAGGATTTTCAGCAAACATTAACCTATGTGCCCACAAAAAAAAACAGTGTGTCAAAAGAACAGTTTTTCCCTTGTCACCACTATTATTTTGTACTATCTTGACCCCTTTTGGCAATGCTTATTTACAAGATTATAAAAATATGTGAACCAAGCATAATATTTACCTTTTATAAAGATTTATTATTTACCATTTTATATTGGTTATTCCCTTGACACCACTATTAATGGATACACTTTTGATCTCTGCAATGTTTATTTACAAGATTATAAAACATATGTGAACCAAGTACAATACAAGATTTATTATTTACCATTTTATAAAGAAATCTGAAAAATCTTTTTATTCAAAAACTTATTAAAAATTTTCAGGATATGTAAAGTAAACTACAATGCAATAGTTATTGTTTACCATTTTATAAATAATTATGAAAACAATATTTTTATTTAATGTAATGAATGGAGCTTAAAATCTTTGTTGTCAAATCTCAAGAATAAAGAAAATGTATAAATCCACTTTCATGTGTTTGAATTTTATTAAAATTCTAATCATCACTTTTTAAAACAAACATAAGTACAGGGTGATCCGAAAGTCTTGTCATAATACTGTCTATTTCAGATGGCTGGGACGAGCTCCTACAGTTTAGAAGAAAGGTAGGGAGTGACAAGCCTTTCAGACCACTCTGTAGGTATAATAGTGGTGTCAAGGGAATAACCGTCCTTTTGAGAAACAGTTTTTTTTTTTTTTTTTCTCTCATTAAGGTTAAAAATATTGTCAATAAATCATTTTGAAATTAAAAAAAAAGATTGCAGACCTGCTCCAACGTTTTTTGTTGATTTAAAAATAACTCACCAAAAGATTAATTAAAAAAAGTGTTTGAATTTATAATTTATTTCATTTTTCACAGTTAATTACAGTGAAAAAAATATATTTAAAAATTTATCTTAGATTTGAAGTTCACAAAAGCTGAAAAAAAAAAAAAAAAAAACTAAATATTTTTTCTTTAACATTCTCACACAACATGAATTCTTTGGGTAAGAAGAACTCTTGCAGTGTAACACTTTTTGCCCATTTTGGTTTCGTAGTTTCAAGATTTGAGACCGGACACTTTCAAAAATGCAATATAATATGGGTAGGTAAATATATATATAAATTCAGAATTTTGAATACAGATCTGTTCCGAATGTTGAAGTCGACAATATTCAATTATCACCAAAAAAAATCAAAAGAAGGCTTACCTCATCCATTTTAATTTAATTCCCTAATTGGTCTTTTTTTTACCCAATCCAATATAAATAAATGTATTTTTAAATTTTAACTCAACGTCTCTTTTTTTAATTTAATGAAGATATTTTTCTTCAATTGATTTTTTAATTAATCCAAATTAAGTAATTAATTTTTTAATGTGATTATTAATTAGTCAATAATTAACAACATAAACATTTTTTTTTTTAAATATCTTTTTTTCTATAAAAACTAAAAACCAAATCATCTGTCGAAAATATTTATTTTTAAAAGAACAACAAAGTATTTTTCAAATTTATTTGTTTTTAAAAATAAGATTTTACGAAATAATTTTTTCTTACAAATTCAAAAAAAAAAAAACATTTACGTAAATTAAAAAAGGAAAAATTATAAAAAATACTTAAAAAAAGAAATACTTTTTGAGTTATTTAATTAAAGGTACAACCAATTTTTATACAGGTAAAAAAACAAACAGACCCACCTGTAGGTAGCAAATTAACCAAAGAAAGTAAATAAAATGTTGCAAAAAAAAAAAAAAAAAAGTTCAAAATTTATATATGAAAATACCAAATATTTAACACTAACAAAAGGTAAGAATTGTTTGTTTTTTTAAGGTAAAAATTTTATTAAGACTTTAAGTAAACAAAAACTAAAAAGTGTATTTTGATTCTGATGATGTCGTCGTAACTTGAAACAGATTGCTTCTATAATGCCACACTGACTTCTTCGTGTAGGTATCCGATACTGCTTTCAAAATACACCGAAATTAAGACGAATTAATACAAGAATTATTTATTTTTAAACCTAAGTCTGGTAGCAATTGTGTCGTAAAAAAAAGTGGTCGTCCATTTATTTTTTAACCATACGACGATTATTGTCTTAAATGTCTACCGATGTACATAAATTCAATTCTGTTGTTTGTTTGTTTTTTAATAACTAAAACTTCCCTTACCTGCTTCGTGCAGGTTTATTTCAAGACGTGGAATATTTTGACAGAATTTGCATATGCGTAAACAAATGCAATATAATTACAACCGTGGGGAAAGAAAAAAGAACCTTACCTATTCCACTTAAAAACCATGTGCCAAAAGCAGGAACGGGAGATCTCGTCGGAACTTAAGTAGAACAAACGGAGCACGTGACCTACACTTCCGGCTACTGCACACCCGGTCTGAAAATGCTATTTCCGTTTGGCTTAAACCGGGTAAACAGCTGACACAAATTCCCCGAATTATTTTAGTTTGTTATTCTTACCGCTGTTATTGTTGTTGTGGTGGTGGCTTTATTACTACAAATCTTTAACAAGTCTGTGACCTACGGTAGAGGAAGGTTTTCTTTCTTTGAATGTTATTAACCAGAGAATTATTGACAGAATGTATAATTGGTAATAATTTTGCAAATGTGGTACAAGGCTAAAACGAGGGATGGGAGGAAGGCTGGTCTTCAATTTGTCTTACCTTTTTAAAGTTAAACTTAACTAGCCACAATGACGTGCTGATATGCTTGAGAACAGTATGAATCCAACACTTCTCCCCCCCTCCCAGCTATGGATAAATAATACAACAAGCTGGTGTAACAAGAGCATGAGAAAGAAATATTTATTTTGCCTGATACATTTCTGTAGTAATGGGCATTGCTATATTTGCAATATTTCACGGACAGAACAGAATAGCTGAATGCAGAAAGAATAAAACATTTGCTTAGTTCTTGTTATCTTACAGTTGAAATGGCTAGATGTAACCCTAAGTTCTACACTAATAGTTTCATCTCTCACACTTTTATATATACAAAAATACTCATAAAAATGAGAAACAGCAAGACGTGGCAACAACAAAATGACTATTATTTATTATCTGGTTCTTATATGGATCCGAAAAAATGAGAAACAGTAACACTGGGTAAAATTATGAGTTTGGGGTCAAATGAAGATCAAATATGGATCAAAATCCAACAAAATAATAAGATAAAGATAATGAAAGTGTTGTCGAAGTTAGCTCCTCCTTAGCTCCTTAACCCTTCCACCAGGGGTCTCTCTTCCCTGGCTATAAATACTGGCTGACCCTTCACCTCTTCCTCTTTTTCCCTCAGGCCTTTGGGCCGCCACCTTGAGGTAAATCTCATTCCTCAGGCTTCGGCCTTATACCACCTCACAGATGTGAACGCTCATAGATACAGCATTTCCCAAATGCTGGGAACACGCTAAGAACAATACACGTATGTACAAACACTCACCACAACACACACACACATAATATTCACAACACACTCTGTTCATGTAACTGTCCATGTAACTTGTAACCTTTCTTGATATTATTAATACATATATTTGTTTACATATATTTATCGGTCTTGTGTTTGTTTTTCTTTGCCTTCTTTGGACTTAATTTAAGTCCAACTTTCTCAGTTGGACCGGCTAGCAGGAAAATCTTAACTCACGTGTGTTCTTCTACTTCTACTCAACATCACCGACACAGTCCCCTACAGTGTATACAGCCTTTTTTATATGGTTTTTATTAGAGATGTGTGTAATGAGTGTCCAGAATTTAGTTAGAAAATACAAAAAGTGTCTGGGGTTTTCTTACCTCAAAATAGAGCACTAAGAGATAAATGTAGAGATTCACTTTCACATGGTTAGGTTTTATTACAATTTTAATCATTGCTTTTTAAAAACATAATATTGCTGAAGAGTGAATGTAATTAAAATAAAAGCAGTGTCATGAGAAAAGTCATCCTTTTGACACACCATTTTTGTTTTGTTTTTTTTGTGGGCACGATGGTCCATGTTTGCCAGCTAATAATTTTACTTCCTTTTCTCGTAACTTCAAGTTATTTGGGGTAAAGCTTGTCTTCTCTACCTCACTTTCTTGGAAGTCTACTAATTTCATTTTCATTAAATCAAGTCAATCAAACATGGATAGATTAAGAATTAAGATCATTAAATTGAAGAGCATGACGGAATTGGATGAATTGTAAGGTGTTATCTCTCAGAATTAAGAATATCTCTCTGAAAGTAAATGCTTGGCATTCTTTACTATTGTAGGGATTGTTATAATTCTGAGTAAATAATTATAAACCCATTAACATTTATATAAACAAAAATACTTGTAGAAAATAAGAAACAGCACGATGTGGAATTAACAAAAAAAGTATTATTTATTATCTGGTTCTTCTATGGTGTTGGAGACATGAGAGGCAGTAATATGGAGCAAAATTGTGAGCTTGGGGTCAAATGAAGATCAAATATGGATCGGAATCCATCAAAATAATAAGATAAAGATAATGAAAGTGTATACAACCTTTTTTATATGTGTTTTTTTTTATTTTTATTAGAGATCTGTGTAATGAGTGTCCAGATAATTTAGTTAGAAAAATACAAGAAGTGTCTCGCGTTTTTTTACCTCAAAATAGAGAGCTAAGAGATAAATGTAAAGATTCATTTTCACATGGTTAGGTTTTATTACAATTTTAATCATTGCTTTTTAAAAACATAATATTGCTGAAGAGTGAATGTAATTAAAATAAAAGCAGTGTCATGAGAAAAGTCATCCTTTTGACACACCATTTTTGTTTTGTTTTTTTTGTGGGCACGATGGTCCATGTTTGCCAGCTAATAATTTTACTTCCTTTTCTCGTAACTTCAAGTTATTTGGGGTAAAGCTTGTCTTCTCTACCTCACTTTCTTGGAAGTCTACTAATTTCATTTTCATTAAATCAAGTCAATCAAACATGGATAGATTAAGAATTAAGATCATTAAATTGAAGAGCATGACGGAATTGGATGAATTGTAAGGTGTTATCTCTCAGAATTAAGAATATCTCTCTGAAAGTAAATGCTTGGCATTCTTTACTATTGTAGGGATTGTTATAATTCTGAGTAAATAATTATAAACCCATTAACATTTATATAAACAAAAATACTTGTAGAAAATAAGAAACAGCACGATGTGGAATTAACAAAAAAAGTATTATTTATTATCTGGTTCTTCTATGGTGTTGGAGACATGAGAGGCAGTAATATGGAGCAAAATTGTGAGCTTGGGGTCAAATGAAGATCAAATATGGATCGGAATCCATCAAAATAATAAGATAAAGATAATGAAAGTGTATACAACCTTTTTTATATGTTTTTTTTTTAGAGATGTGTGTAATGAGTGTCCAGATAATCTAGTTAGAAAAATACAAGAAGTGTCTGGGGTTTTTTTTTACCTCAAATTTTTGTTGAGTGGTAAAGGATAAATGTTATTATTATGGCCTGAAAAGGAAAAGGAGGTTAAATTTTTGCTGATGCACGTGTTAATGACCTGTCCATATGAACTGCTTGTCTGATAGAATGTAATGTGTTTGTGTGTGTAGAGGAGAAAAGTGGGATAGATTCTCACTGGATTAGAATGATCAAATTAATGATAATTTGAATTGTTATAATTATTTTATTATAATTATTTTCTACACTATAAATAATTTGTATTTATTTTTTATGAACACAAAACCAGGACAGTATAATTAATTTTTTATTTATGTATTTTTTATGGACATGACACTACTGACGAATACTTTTTGAGTAACAGTTTCTCTCTCTTCTAGACTGTTAGTTGAAAAACTTTACGTTAAGAAGTGCTTCTTTAATAATGGAAAATATTTCAGCTTCTTTTCTTCGAGATACCCTGAAAATATTTCTTTCGAAATCTTTAATATGGCCAAACATCAGTGGCACTGCACTTCTATTACCTTGTTTCAGACCTTCAGTATCTGTCTATATTTCTGAGCTGAGGTATTATGTACACTATTTACATTATTTGGACTATTTCCTCATCTTTGTCGCCATATTTATCACAACATTTCGGCCCTTCAGTATCTGTCTATATTTCTGAGATGAGGTATTATGTACACTATTTACATTATTCAGACTATTGTCCTCATCTTTGTTGCCATATTTATCACAATGTTTCGGCCCTTCAGTATCTGTCTATATTTCTGAGATGAGGTATTATGTACATTATTTACATTATTCGGACTATTGTCCTCATCTTTGTTGCCATATTTATCACAACGTTTTGGCCTTTCAGTATCTGTCTATATTTCTGAGATGAGGCATTATGTACATTATTTAAATTATTCAGACTATTGTCCTTATCTTTGTCGTCATATTTATTACAGCCTTTCAGCCGTTGTACGCTCCAGCCTTCTTCAGGTGGTTGGAATGTCAAACTGAACCCTTGAGGACACATGGCACATTGGATAAAGGTTTTAGTTAGATCCAGTGACATGACCCAAAGAGTGTGAGTTCAATACCCGGTTAAGGCAGTCGAGAACCTTCAGAGGGAAATTAACAGGAGATAACTGATAACTGACATCCGTTAAACATGGCACATGGAACTAGAACAGTCTACCCCAGTGAGCGAAATAAAGGGTTCAGTTCGACATTCCAATCACCTGATGAAGGCTGGAGCGTACAACGGCTGAAACATTGTAATAAATATGGTGACAAAGATGACGACAATAGTCCAAATAATGTAAATAATGCCTTTAATTTTAGTCAGTTCTGGAGAGTCATTTACTTTTTTGTTTAAGAAAAGTCTTCTTTCTCCTAGCAACTCCATAAATTGGTTTCACACTTGGCTACAGCTTGACCATCCGACATTGTTGTACATGAATAACCCAGAAAATTGACCATTAACTTCATTCAATAGCTTGGTGAATTGACGTTTGTTAAGTGCATGAGCAATTATAAAATTCACAATTTTTGTTACAAGGGGCATTGTTTTTTTGTAGTAATTTCAAATTAGTTTTTGCATGCAAAGATTCTTGATGCAAAATGCAATGAAATTCAACTAAATTTTGGTTTACTTCTTGTTTCAGTAATTAAAAAATCTAGTATTTTTTCCAATCATTCTTGGAGTTCCATCTGTTGTCACAGGTACAATATTTTTGAACTTCAATAAATACCTTCTTCGATACATCCGTATCTTGCCCTCTAGTTTTTTCTGACAATGTGTCATACCTGACGTACCTATTCTATTATTAATAGACTCTCTCACAGATAATAAGTAGTAGTAGCAGTGGCCAGTTGGGGCTCAGTGGTCT